TTTTACCACAGACCTCTGGGTGCTCACAGACATAAAAACTATACACCTTAAAACATAAATGCATTAAGACCAACCATTAAAATCTCCATTAAAATCTTAAAACAAGGTGGTACTGTAAATTATTGTAATTGCACAGGAAGAGAGGAAATGACTCTTGTCGTCATTTTCTGATTTCTCTATCTTTTTGGAATCCAGAAATGAGTCACTGGCCTCCTCCCTATCACCACACCTTGCAAAGTTCAGTTGCAAGGAAATAACTGGGAAAGCCCAGTCTCCTGATTCTTCAAGACAGCGGGAGTTGCCTTCCCCGTAAATCAAAGGGGAAGAGTTTTACAAATTTCATAGCAGGCAACGAAGCAGCTCTGGCGGAAAATTAACCCAAAATAGAAGCTCACTTTGTTAGCCTTTCAATCGTAGTTTTTCAGATATGCCTCTTTATTTATAATGTGCATCTGGTTTAGGTTTGGCAGTGGGTAAAGTAATGTGACTTGCTCTTCATTTTCCGTGAGGTAGCCTGGATTCTTTTTTTTTTTTTAAGTAACCAATTTGACTTCAAAGACAGTTTGATGAACAAGCAACAGTGCTGAACGTTTCATCAACTGATTTCTACAGCGTACACTGCTGTCAAATATGCCTGTTCCAGATAGTTGGCAAACTAGTTTTCAGTCCAGGACAAACATGAATTAAATTATTCAATTAAATTATGCATTCGGTACTTGGGTGGCTTGTTTTTCCTTGACAATGATGTCATAAGATGTAGAATAGAGATATTTATCTAACAGCTAATATTTTTCAGCAATTATGCTGCCCCAAACTATCCACTGCATCTCATCGCCATTTTTTTTCCTATTTTATTTTTATGCTTCTAGGTTACTTTTGCCAACTGTATCCCTACCCTTTTCCACCTCCACAAGTTGCCTGAAATGAGTTCCTGTTTCTTTAAACTTTTATTCTTGGCCTGGCATACGTGGTAGCACATTCCTGGTTTGTTTAGCAGTTGCCCCAGTGATGACAGGACCCCTGCATGCTTCTGCCTAGCCTTTGGCCAGCATGCTAGGAAATGGATTGAGCTTTTGTCTTCAAGGCTCCCACTTGGCAGATTTAGCCACCGAACATGGTTCTCAATTGCTGCAGCTGGCACAGCACTGCAGTTACTTCCCAATTTGCTTTGGAGCATTTTGGAAGGAGTCCTGTGTAGTATATACATAAACAGAAACATGAATTAATTCAGTCTAAGGGATGCTTATTTTTCTCCCTCATGAGTAGATACAAATAAAACTAGAGAGGACTTTAAAAAAAAATTAAAAGCAGACTCATATCAAATGATAGTAAGACAAAATAGTATCTGTGTGTGTGTGTGTGTGTGTGTGTGTGTGTGTGTGTGTGTGTGCAGGTACCCGCCCTTGATTCCTGGTGACTACCTGGACAAATCCCTGCAGTCTTCTTGGCAAGATTTCAGAAGTGATTTCCCATTGCCAGGGCTAAGAGAGAGGGACATGCCCAAGGTTACCCAGCTGGCTTCATGCCTAAGGTGGAACTCAACAGTCTCCCAATTTTTAGCCAGGTGCTTTAACCACTATGCAGAACTGGCCCATCCTGGAAACTCTAGGCATCCCCGAAATAGGAATAGGTAACCTATAGCCCAGTAGATATACCAGTAATTTAACTTCAACTCCAAGTTACGTATGTGGGTTGGAACTGCTGGGAATTGGTTAGGCAGTATCTGGTGGATCAATGCTACCTATTACTGCATTGCTCACTATATTAAGGAGTGCAGAAATTCTTGCTCCAGGAGTGCAGACAACCTTTGGGCATGCTTCCAAATATGTTGCTGCTAAATTCCAGCTATCATTGTAAGGATACTACCTACCCTGCCGTCTGTCTAGAGAGAGCCAATTAGCATATCTTTTCAGTGGGCAGCATTAGCCTGCAATACTGTATTCTAACCACTGTTAGTATTATGACATAAATGACCACACTCATTCCTGGCCTTTGGAAAGGCACCCAAATATTTTTCAATAGGCTAATTCAGTGATGACTGGATGGCTTCCTAATATTTTGTTTTGAAGTTATTTTAGCTAAAGGTGGAAGCAATGCTTTGGGGAATATTAACAATTAACAATGGTATGACTGTTGTGTGTTTTTAAATTATGTATTGTTATGTTTTGTCTTTTATTTTCTGTCTGTACCCCCCTTCCCTGATTTGAATTGTGAGCCGCCCTGAGTCCCCTAAGGGGTAAAAAGGGCGGCATATAAATATAATAAAATCAAATCAAATCAATTGATTTTAAGGTACATAAGTATGTACTACAATAGGTTGCATGCATCTATTCATCAAACTTTAGGCAGATTACAATCTTAGGAGCATTACAACTCTTATATCATAAAACCATAAGAGGTTACCCATAGTGTTTATTAAATTGCTACATTTAAATTGCTTTATATTTAATAAAGGACACCCAATTGCTGTCCTTTATTAAATATCTTCCTTTCCAGAAGTCCTATTAAAAATGACTCTGGTTTCAATATTATTCTAAGAAATAAGAGGGCAATAATTAATCCAACCTCATAATATAAACTATTCTATAGTGAAGGGGTTGCTACTGAAAAATACATCTTCTGGGCAAATAAATAAAATCACAGTACTGTATTACAAAGAAGTAAGTTACTGTGTGCATGGGAAGTAACCATATTAAATGTCTTAGTTAACAGTATAATTTGAATGAAACCAAATATAAAAAATTCCTTGCTCCCCTCTTTATTCTGACTTCATTTATGTTTTAGAGAGCAGCCTTTTGCCATGACGCTCCAAGGCCTGTTTGATCTTTGTACACTTCCTTCTGTATTTGCATGAGCAAAGAAGTGCATTAAATTGCAGCCCCTTATAGGCTGTATCAAAAGCAAAGGTATCAGTGGTGGGTTTCTTCCGGTTGAGACCAGTTTAGCCGAACCAGTAGTGATTTGCCAGCCTGGGTCGCCAGAACCAACAGTGACCCAGGCCTGCCACGCCTCCAAACTGGTTTCCAGTTGGCGTGGCATGTTCCCCCCCATTTTTTAATGTTCTGTGCATGCACGAACCTATTTATGGGCAACTGCACACGCAGGTGGAGCATGCATCTGGCACATGAGTGAAGCAAGAGCACATGCACAAAATTGCACGCGCACCAAACTGACAGTAATGCTGGCAGCAACCCACCCCTGAAAGGTATGCTTTAGCTATAAGAGGGGGAAACAGGACTGTATTTTACTGATCTAGTAAACTTTATCTAGTGTCATTTTAGGAAATGTTTTTGGTCACTCTTCCCCTTGCCAAATATATACATTGTGTATTTATGTATATATTGCCATAAAACAAATCTGGTAAAAGAAACAAGACAGCAATACAATAACCAATTCTTACTTTGAGATTCAGAGGTTTATTTCATGAGCAATTTGGAACGTGAGCAGCCGTCATAACATTACTTACATCAATAACCCATTGCAATTAGGCCCAGAGACAATAGCTAGGTCCAGCAAGGAATAGCTACGGCCAGTGGCCATGAGCTGAGACCCAGCTCCTTCTTTTATACCTTCTTCGGATGGCCCCTTAGTGAAATGGAATTTTGACAAAGTTTGTTGCAGAAATCAAATCTATAAAGCACGCACAGATAACTGATTCAGCAGGATTCATTAACTTCTCATTATATACATATAACACATGAGATATGTATACAATACCAAGAGTGGTTCTTCCAACGTGGTAGAGATGAGAAATTGGTTTCCAGTTTAGTTTCAGAGCTCAGCAGATGATTAGTTCAGCAGAGACTCAGAGCTATAGTACAGAAGTTAACCTACACCACGCCCAGACTCATAGCTATCTCCAGCAAATATTATTTCAGTTTCCAAACAGTCCCCAAACAGTTTCTTAATACTTCATTCCAAAATAGCTTCTGAAACTACCGGGATCTTACTTAGCAAATATATGTTATAAAATTGCACTAGCATGGCAGATTACAATATTGCTTTATTCTTAGGCAATCATTCTAGCTGACACTTCAAGTTAGCTATTCTTTTGAAGCCTACTATGATTGTGAGGCCTATACAGTCTTGGTTAAATCACACCTGGTTGTCCTTTCCCCACAATATGTGTGTGTACACACACAAACACACATATATGCAGTACTGTGCAAAAGTCTTAGGCGGCTATTAGATTTGTTATTTTAGCAATTATTTTTCGGTATTGAATGTCATATCTTGAATATCTACTGCAGTTGGTTGATTTCCCTTTCAGAGTGGCGGTGGCTGATGCAAAAGTGTGACTTTATGCCTGTCAAAGTCTGTGGTCTTTGGCATTTTGACTGGCACGATATGATTGAAAGTTGGTCGTATTAGCAAACTTCCAAGAAATCACATTCATACAACATGTAAAATGCTCAAGTACGTCTTGCACAAACCTGGTGTAATAGATCTTTTTGCACTGCAGTCATTCTTTTTGCAGCTAAGAGCCGAGGTGGCGCAGTGGTTAAATGCAGCACTGCAGGCTACTTCATCTGACTGCAGTTCTGCAGTTCGGCTGTTCAAATCTCACGGGCTCAGGGTTGACTCAGCCTTCCATCCTTCCGAGGTGGGTAAAATGAGGACCCGGATTGTTGGGGGCAATATGCTGACTCTGTAAACCGCTTAGAGAGGGCTGAAAGCCCTATGAAGCGGTATATAAGTCTAACTGCTATTGCTATTGCTAACTGCTAATATCCAAATAATATTTCAATATCAACAGCAATCATCAGCCCAATATAAATCATAAAATAAGAATTGCATTAATTTCCACCTGAGTAATGAAAGACCTTATGTTAAGAGGAATCCAAGTTTCAGATGTGGTGCATTCAAACATGATTTTCAAGCAGGATTTAATTCTGAGTAGGCACATATAGTGGTTGGTTTTGTGTCCTGGCTAGATCCATTTAAAGCCTAACTCAGACTCCACCAAGATTAATCTTTTTCTTGCTTCTCCAAAGACTTTTGTCCGGGCTCTCATTGGAGCAGTGGCTTTTCTCATCACTGCCATCATTGTCTTCTTTAGCCGCCCAGATGGAGGAGCCATTGCTGGGGCGGTAAGTATCATATCTGCCGGTGGGGCAAATTTGTGGAGGGAGTGGAGAAAGGAAGCTAGAATGGTGACTCGGCAGGAATTTTGAAAATTCAAGAACATGCATTAAACAAGGCGAGGCTTGCTTATTCCGGGATCACATTAGCTGGAGAATGCTGTAGTAGCAAGAGTGGGAGTACCTTTGGGGTACTCCTCCCAAAACTACATTTCCCAGAATCAGCTGCCACTAACCATGCTGGCTGAGACTGCTGGGAATTGCAGTTCAGCATTTTATGGTGAACTCACATATTTTTCACTGCTTCTTTAAAAAAATAGGGCAATTAAAAAAGAACAGAATCTGGCAAGACATAGGAATCAGTTCACATCTTGCATTAAGACCAAACAATGAACACAAAGGTTTATGCCAGTGTTACCAGTGAAGCAGGTTATTATAGCTTCTTTTTTTAGTATATTTTTATTATTGTGTCATACCATAATACAGCACATTGTTTAAACCCTATCATGTCAGAAGGCCATATTTGGGCAAAATTAAAAGAGTAGTTACTTTAAGGATGGGGAGGTGGGACTACCTGTACTCAAAGCATTGGAATAAAATGAGACTACAGGTTGTCCACAATTTACAACCGTACCTGACCCCAAAGTTTCCATTGCTAGGAAAGTCAACTTGCTTAGCAGTTAAGTGAGTTGTTCCCCATTTCACAACCTTTTTGCACAGCTGTTAAGCAAATTGCTGCAGTTATTAAGATTGTTAAGAGCCGAGGTGGTGCTGTGGTTAGAGTGCTGTACTGCGGCCACTTCAGCTGACTGCTATCTGCAGTTCGGCGGTTCAAATCTCACCGGCTCAAGGTTGACTCAGCCTTCCATCCTTCCGAGGTGGGTAAAATGAGGACCCAGACTGTGGGGGCGATATGCTGACTCTGTAAACCGCTTAGAGAGGGCTGAAAGCCCTATGAAGCGGTATATAAGTCTAACTGCTATTGCTATTGCTATTGCTTATAATCTGGCTTCCTCCATTGACTTTGCTTGTCGGAAGCCAGCTGGGAAGATTAGAAACTGTGATCACATGAGCCAGAGATGATGTAGCTGTCATACATACATGCCAGTTGCCAACTGCCCAAATTTTGATCATGAGACCATGGGAATGTGGCAATGGTCGCAAGGGTTAAAAATAGTCGGAAGTTACTTAAGTGCCATTGTAACTTTGAACTGTCACTTAACAATGGGTTTTAAATTGAGGACTACCTGTATATTACAAAATGCAGCTGCTACAATAATACCCTCTACAAATACTACAAATTGTCAGCGTTCCAAGTATTATGTAGTATTAAATCAGAGTCCAAGGCAAAACGATCCTTAAAGTTCCAATTTAATAAATCAGACATCTTAGCACATCTGTGTAAATCCCAATTCTGGAAATTACATCAGAATTCCACCCAGTTAAAACTTTATGATCTTGTCCCCACACCCACAAATCCATCACATGGTCCAATCATCTTCTTCCAAGCTAGCACCTCCACCCAGCTGCTTCCAGTCCAGTGGAAAGGTGCAGAGACAAAAGATGACCTTGGCTTTCTAGAAAAGAATGAAAACAATACATTCTACAATCCTACTCCTTTCTATTCCCCCCTCCCATCAACTATACTCATGAAACAGCATAAAGAAATAAGAGAAAGTGTGGCAGGCCCAAATTCTAAAAGGAATATAATTGCAGGCCTGACACAAATACTACTACAAATACCTACTACAAATAATACCTTCTATCTGCAGGTTGTTTCTGGCTCAAGATTTTATCATGCCTCACAATTTTATAGGAAGAAGAATAGAATAGGATATGATAGAATAGAATAGAATAAGCTAGAAGTGACCTTGGAGGTCTTCTAGTCCAGCCCCCTGCTCAGGAAGGAAACCCTATACTATTTCAGACAAATGGTTGTCCAATCTCTTCTTTAAAATGTCCAGTTTTGGAGAACTCACAACTTCTGGAGGCAAGTAGTTCCATTGGTTAATTGTTCTCACTGTCACAAAATTTCTCCTTAGTTCTACGTTGCTTCTCTCCTTGATTAGTTCCCATTCATTCCTTCTTGTCCTGCCCTCAGGTGCTTTGGAGAATAGCTTGACTCCCTCTTTTTTGTGGCAACCCCTGAAATATTGGAAGACTGCTATCATGTCAGGTCCAGATAACTTCATTTGTTACATATAATTCTCAATTGTTTTCTCATTGCTTAATTAACTCCCAAATGTATTTAGTTGGTAGCACGAGTTGTGCATCTAGAAAAACTTTCAGCCTACCGGTATTATTGGGGGGCAGAGTCCTGAGTCCCCAAACTAAACTTGCATTGTTTTCAACAGGTGGCTTCAATTCTGACTGGAATCCTCTTTGCCTACGATGCATATACCATCTTGCCTACTCTCAGGAAATCCCATACAGCAGCTCCTTCCGGTAGGTCTTCTGGGGTGAAGGCATTGGGAAGGTGAACATTTCTAGGTGGCTTCTAGATGTCTTTTCTTTCTTGCATGAATCAGATCCGCAAAAGTTTGCTTTTGGAGACGGTCCTGGTATACCGATTTCCACTGTAGATTTCTGTATTCAGAACTAGGTATACCACTTGTTGCTAAATCCAGTAGTGGAAATGAGATCCTCCCAAAGGAATTGTTTTCTCTTGCTGTTCTTTTACTTAAACTTGGCTCTAGAACATCTGCATGATTTAGGATGACTCTGTTGCATTCCAGTGCCCTTTGAGCAATGTGGGTGATTGAGGAGTTCTGCTTCAAGTCCAGTGGTTTTAAGAATAAGGATTGGTAGCGTTCAGGTAGTCCTTGACTTACAACCATTCAATTAATGATCACTCAAACTTACAACATGTTGCAGCATCCCCATTGTCCCCTGATCAAAACCTGTGTGTTTGGCAGCAGGCATGTAATTGTAATGGTTGCAGCATCCTGGGTTCCTATTTATTTATCTATCTATCTATCTATCTATCTATCTATCTATCTATCTATCTATCTATCTATCTATCTATCTATCTATCTATCTATTATGTANATATTGCAACCTTCTAGGATGCTTTTCAACTTTCCAGCCCTGAAACTACTGGTGGGATCAAATAATTTAACAACTGGTTCTCTGCCGTCATCTCTGCCCTTCAAACAACCAGTTCACCAAACTGCTCAGAAAGTTAACAACTGGTTCTCCCGAAGTGCGAACTGCTGAATCCCACCACTGCCTGAAACCTTCTGGTGGACTCTCATTCATGGAGAGCCCTTGCTTAGCTTTTTAAAGATCAGCCACGTTTACTGCATTGTTTTCTTTCAGTGTTTCTCCTCCCCCCTTCTGCTCTTTGATAAGTATTTCTCCTCTCCTAGATTGCATGTATCGTCATCATTATCTGCTATGGGGCATCCTCGTCATTTGGCTACACGGGTTTGGCGGTCTTCATACTGATTTACTGCGTTGTCCTGTTTATCATCTTCATGTTAGGATTACACCTCCAATTGGCTTTCATCCACTGGGGATGGACGGTAAGTTTTGGTTCTGTGGTAAGCCCTGGGGTGAGGTGAGGGATTCTTATAAGTATGTATCTCTCTCAATATTATTTATTTAACAATATGTCTAGCACCCATCCCTTGATCCATACAGACTCCGTGCAACATTATTAAAATAATAACACTCAACCATGATGGTCTCCCAAAGCAAGCTATGGAGCAACATCTTTAAAAAGCAAGAAGGAAGCTGCCATCTGTCCTTCTGGACCAAGGTGATCCATAACTTGGGTCTACCCTCAGGAAGGTCCATATCCCATGAATCTTGAGGGCAAAGGACCCTCCATAGGTCCCTCCCTGGATATCTCAACTACATGGGCAGATTACATTTTGCAAGACATTATATGATACAACTGATTGCTCAGACTGTGTGAATGCCAGTAAGAATGTCCACCTGCGAAGACAGTCGTAACCTGGCATTTGTGTAAAGTGGTCATAGGGAAACATTTTTTGCATTAATTTGCTTGTTGTTGTCTTTTTATTTTTTTGCATAATGATTCTGTTATGCTGCTGGGGGATTCTGGGTATTGAAGTCCACAAGTCTTAAAGTTGCCAAGTTTGGACATCCCAGGTGTATATGAAGATGAGAATCTGAAGGCACTTATATTGAAGTTTTGGTACAGCATTGTATCAGATCCAGTTGAGGATGTAAGATTACAATCTTACATTTACCTCTCTGCTCAAGGGGTT